GCAGTGGTAGCACGGCAGCCGTGCAGCAGCCGTGGCGCAGTGGTAGCGCACTTGCCTCAGAAACGTAAGATCTGTGGTTCAAACTCACCTCTGGGCAAGTTTTGCGACATCGGTTAGGAAGGAGGCGTGAACTTCCTATTAAATGCTCTTCCGCGGTGCTCTGTGATAAGACCGTAAGGACTTCTTGGGGCACCTAAATCAACATTAAAAAAAAAAAAAAAAAAAAAAAAAATGGCTCATCAAATTTTTTAATTATTCCATTAATTATGGGTGGACACCATTATCAATGTCAACGTCTATTATTGTACCCCTTGTTAAATCGTATAAAAAATCTTTAGATAGCCCGAGCAATTATCGCGGTATTAGCATTATACCAATTTTTACAAAGGTTCTAGAATACCTAATCTTTATTCTATGTCCGGATATTAAAAATACTCACCCTCTACAATTTGGATTCAATGCTAACTGTTCAACGCTACATGCTGAATTTCTAATTAGCGAAACAATTAAACATTACAATAGCAACAACTCACCTGTATACCTATGCTCTTTAGATGTAGAGAAAGCTTTTGATAGCTGCAACTAGGATATCCTATTTGATAAATTATATTTTGATAAAAAATTACCACTCTGTATAGTTAACACTATCTCTTCGTTATAAAACAATAGTAGTGCAACAGTCTCATATCAAGGTTGTAAATCAAACTCCTTTCTTCTAAAGCAAGGAGTAAGACAAGGATCGATTCTCATCTATATAATATTTACACTGAAAGTCTTCTTGAAACTATTACAAATCAAGGTATTGTTTGCACATCTATATATGGTAACTTCACTGGTGTGGTGGCATATGCGGATGATATCATACTTTTAAGCTCTACCCTCTCTGGTCTTAAAAAGCTGATAAAAACATGCAATATTTACAGTAATTTAAATTGTATTAAAATAAATGCCGAAAAAACTGAATTCTTGATTTCAGGTAAAGCACAAATACAAACCAATACGATAACGATTTCTAGTAATAAAATAAATCTTCAGAATAAACTTAGACATCTGGGATTCACATGGGATAATAAACATTCAACTTTTGCTTCACTCAATAATGCAAATGTTGATGAAAAAATTTCAAACTTTAGGGCTATAGTTCAAACTCTTTTTCAATCTGGAATCCGGTTTGCCCACCCAAGTTCTATTTCCTATATATATAAATTATTGGCCGTCCATACCTTAACTTATGGTATGGAGAAATGTGAAAATAATTCTGCTGTGATGAAAAAGCTAGATGTAATTGGAAGGAGTGCACTTAAATCGCTTTTAAATGTTTCCAAACACAGTAAGAACTATATAAATTCGCTATTTAAAATCCAGGAGATTTCAGAAATTATTCACCGAAATAAATTAAACTTGTTTCTTCGTCTGCTTAATAATAAAACAACTTCAGACATTATCTTTTCACAACTGAAACACTCCTTATTTAAACATTCGTTTGTTGGCGATATCCAGGACCTACGCCGTTTTCGGATGCTAAATTTTCAAAACTTAATTCAAAATAAAAAGAAGATAAAAATAGCACTTTCTAAAAGTGAAATTCCCTCCGAAATTGATCAAATTCTGGAAGAAAAAATTCTCAAGTGAAAATCACAAGAAATATCTTTCTTATTTTTCTTTTTTACCTTGTAACTTACATTGGGTGTTAAATAAATGAAATAATAATAATTTGCCACATTTTTTTAATGAAGTTGGCATAGCAACATATTTATTGACACACGTCAGTATTTATATGCGTCTAAAATTCGGAACGCACTCTTGTCAAACCCCTATTCCTTTGCGTCCGCGAACTCGAACGCATAGGTGGTAGGCCTGTTTAAAATGTTTTTGGCAAACATTTTAAGTACAAAAATGATAAACGTTTCCTTTAATTTCTTTAGTTAAAAAAATGTTTTTAAAAAATTATCAGTTCATTGCATACATTTTTATGAGAGAAATACTTCCTGAAAATTTCATTTAAATCGGTCAAGCGGTTCTCAAGATACTTCTGCCGGGAGATTAAAAACACGCGTTTTGAGAAAAATGACAAATAAGTAAAATTGTGATAAAAAATATTTAAAAACAACAAAAACACAAAAAATATTATATAAAAAGAGAATATTAATAGTAGTTTTTAATAATGAACACCAGCCCAATACATATTTCTTTCTTTTTGTTTAAATTTGTCAGATTTTTTATGCTTGCGGCCTCTTAAAATCTTTCTTAGTTTCTTAATGGTATCTTGATTTTTATACTCTGACATGCTAATTCTTTTCTGGTTCAAGTAATTGCATCCAGAAATTGTATGGTGTCCTGGTATCATATTAAGTTATTCAAATATAAGAATACTAGATTTTAATCCAATATTAAAGGCTCCAATAGCATCATAGAGTCCAAATTTCAGTTGCGTAAGCGAAATATACTTTGAAACTGGTATTCTGGAACATATCATAACATATCATAGCTTTAAATATATATATATATATATATATATATATATATATATATATATATATATATATATATATATATATATATATATATATATATATTTAGGAACAATAATGTTGATAATTATACCAATAATGTTAATTAAAATTTTTTCAAAGGTATAACTTCAAAGAATTTTTTTATATATGGAATATTTTTTTTAACTTGGTCTTGATAAAATCTTAATCAGAATCTGATTCAATTATTTTAAATGAATTATAAAAAGTTTCATCATAAAATATATTACTATCAAACGAAACACTTGATTTATAACTTACTTTACTATAGATTTACCTTTAGATTTGTTTGTGTGTGTTTCTTTTTTTCTTTGACCGACTAATAATATAGACTGGGGTACCACCGTATACGGTGGTACCCCAGTCTATATTATTAGTCGGTGGTATATTATTAGTCGGTACTTTATAAACGTACTTTACGTTTTATAAACGACCCCTATAAGGGTCGTTTATAAAGTACGTATGCTCATGAGGAATGGGGGAGGGGTTAAATAGCGTACATAAAGGGTGGGGGAGGTGGATGTTTTCAATTTAAAAGTACGCACTAATTAAAAAAAAATCCTTAGTAATGTTTTTTTTTTTTTTTTGGTTTACATTTGTTAATTGTTGTACAGCCCATAATAAAAATAATAATATAGACTTATAATGACATAAAACATAACAAACATAAACAAGGTATCTGAAAGAAGATCGAAGGTATAGCGTCCCTCTATGCACGCTAATGCCACCCCTTATGCACTGGCCCTGTGTAAGACGGACTTGTACTTCAGGCAACCCCTTTTTTTAGTCCGCAAAAACATGTTTTAGCAGTACCGCGGCTAGTTGGATGGAGGCCCCCTTAAAAACCAGCCCTAAAATCTTAACAATTTTTTTGCAAGGTATTGCTAAAATACAAATAAAAGCTCCTTAAATTTTAAAAAAGGCCACTAAATTTGCAAATGGGACCCCAAACAGGCCCTATAATTTGTTGCCCCCAATTTATGGTGTAGAGTAGCTTAGCCCCGGCTATAGGTTTTAAGCTTTTTTACAACTCGCGTAAGATTTGTTTTTTACGAACTTACTATACAGGGTGCCTGAAAAGAAGCGTCCGCCCGAAGTAAAGTCAATTTTCTAATTTTTTAGCGTACGTTCTTTATGAACGACCACTTAAGTAAACCAATATTATATCTTTTCTTTGAATTGTTTTTTTTTTTTTTTTGGGTTATTTGGTTTTACTTTTAATTGATTTTTTTATGCACATAACATACTATAATTATAGAATTAATGGTATATATTACTTAATATATATATATTTTGTTAGATTTTTTTTTTTTTAATGTTTTGATTAACGTCAATTTTGCAAAAGTTAATAAATGTTGTCGAATGTTTCTAGGAAAAAAACTTTTCTTTTTCCAGAGACTGATCAAAAATATTGTTCACCGCTTTGAAGTTTGATTACAAACTCTTATTTTACCACCAGCCCGCCACTGTATTGATGATATGGTAATGATTATTTTAATAGGGCCAAATAGTAGAAATTTTAAAAATTCACAACTTTTTGTATCTGTAAAAATAAAAAAGATAAAAAACTATAATAAAAACAAATATGTTTGAAAACTTTGTTTCTATTATGCAAACTGCGTTTTTTAACTTGATATTTTAATATTTGCGTTTTTTACTTGATAAAATTTTGACTTGATAATATTTGTTATAAATATAGTTTAAGTATTTTAATTTTTATTATTATATTAAAAATATCTATAGTTGTATAACTAATAATTTACTACAAAAGAAGAATGCTGGGGGCAGGATCGTGAGGTTCAAGGTTTGGTGACTGTCTAGTTATATAAGTAACTTTAGTAAGAAAGAAAGAAAGATAACACGAAATCACTAAATGCTTTGTCGCATTGCTCTTTCCCAGTGGGCACGGATGTAAAAAAGACGTCTTTTAAAAGTCTTATGCACGTCTTGGACGTCTTTTGAACGTCTTTTGAACGTTTTGGACGTCTTTTGAACGTTCAAAAGACACCTTTTTTTGGTCCGGTGCCCACTGGGTTGGCAAGACAAGAGTTTTTAGACTTCTCATTGTTCATTAGTGTATGCGCTGTAAATGCGATCACCTGGCTTTTTGAAGTAATGCTCGAATTAAATTTACAATAAAACTTAAAAAAAAAATGCTAAAGCTTCCGTGAAGTTCCGTTTTTAACAACTTTTTATTGCCAGCATTTGAAAAACATGAATCGCTGTTTAAATGTTCCATTTAGTTACTCTATTTAATCTTATCAATCAGGATTTTCAGAAAGTTTTATAATAAATTACTTTTATAATAAAAAACTATGTTGAAAAAATGTTAATAAGCCAGAAGAATAAAATACTTTTCAATTGGTACATTGTTTTAAACGTTTTAAAATTAATTTTGTAACGGATAATCCTGTATAAAGTATTATTATAATTATTTTATATGCTTTTTTTTGTGTTATTAATTTTTAGGAAGCATACACAGTGCATATAAATATATAAAGATCCTTTTTAATTTGAAGGAAGAAAAAATGGTAAGTTAATTTTAAATAATAAGTTAGTTATTGAAAATCAACAAATATTTTATGATATGTTTGAACACAACTTTTAACGTTTTGTTTTCTTCTTATATAGCCACGACAGTTTTATACTTTTTTTTTTAATGCTTAAAGTGTTAGGTACACATGCTAAAAGTGTTAGGTGCACATAATATCTTTGGTTGTAAATAATAAACACCACAAAAAGTTTGCTTCTCCGACCCTAAATGTCAGGTAAATTTAACTGTGGGGATCAGAAACTTTATATAGCCGTAGTTTTTAAAAGCTAAAAAATTATTTGTTATAGTTATAACCTATTAACAAATTTAACCTCAGTATAGGTTAGTAAAAATCACTTTTCACTGCTAAAAATTAATTTGTCAATGTAATAAAAAATAATTTGCTAATTACCCTTAAATTTGGGGTTGACAAAGCAAATGTTTTGATGTATTTTTGTTCCCTGCTTGTATTTACCAAGCCATTTTTGCAAAGTATCTTTATTTGAGATATACCTTAAATTTAAAACTTGCTTTATGCATGTAAGTTACTTATTAAAAACACTCAAAAAGGCTTGCTACTCGTAGTTTTTACAAATAAGTCTTAATGATGTTTTTACAAAACTAATCTTAATGACTTTACATTTTAATAATAATTTTTAATGATGTTGATAACGCAATGTTCAAAATAATTGTGTCAACAAGATTATCATCAATTAATTTGTTAGCATTTGTTTTTTTATTCAAAAGATTTGTTTTTCTACAACAATTAGAAAAGCTTTTATAAATGAAAGCTTGTTTTAATCTTAGCTATAATTGACTATTCTTTAGAGACGCTAGAAGTATTGTAAGATTTGGAGCATTTAGCTAGGTTAAGTGATTTTAAATGGTCAGGGGCCAGAAAGATGTATGGTTATAGTAGAGGTGGAATGGTTGAAATGACGGGAATGGAATTTTAAATAAAATGTTTTTATTACAAAAAACAAAGATATAGTTAAAATACAATGTATTTCGAAAACAATGCATTAAAATGTTGTTAAGACTTATATATAATATCCTATATAAAGAACATTTTTTTAAATTCAAGTATTTAAAAAAATTGGGGAAAATAGAAATATTTTAAATAGATTAAACTAAATTCATGACGCATTATCTATTTTAAAGTTTGTAAAGAATACGGCTAATAACTTAGCCTAACAGCTAAAAATTATTTTTTTTCAGAAATTTTAGCATACTTTATATTTTAATACCAATAATATTTTTAGAAAAAGAACTTAAATTTCCTTTTGACTCAACTTCTCTTATTTTTTAGACAAATTTCTATTAAAAGCTTTAATGTAGAAATTCTGAATATCTATGTCTATGTAATGTAGAAATTCTGAATAAATTCTGAAAAACAAAAATGGTGTACTGCTCACTTTAAGTAAGTAGGGTATAAAGGTTGTTACACTGATACAAAGATTTCATATTCTTTGAGCAAATAGCTTTTGTAATAGTTTTGTACTAAATTTGTAAATAAATTTAAAATAAACAAAATATACAAATATATATATATATATATATATATATATATATATATATATATATATATATATATATATATATATATATATATATATATATATATATATATATATATATATATATATATATAGTTAAATATTTGAAATGTCCATGGATAACTAACGGAATAAAGAAATCGTCAAAGAAAAAACAAAAACTATAAATTAAATATTTAAAAAATAGAAACGAAAAAAATCTTACTATCTACAAACAATACAAAAACCTTTTTGAAAAAATTAAAAATAAATAAAAAAAAATCTATTATTTTAAACAATTACAAAAACACAATGGTAGCATTAAAAAAACATGGGAAGTAATGAACGATATTATCGGAAAAACCAAAACTAAATCCGAAATGTTACCAACTAGAATTGCGGAAAATGGAATTGAGTATACAGGTAAAGAAACTATCTCCGACAAATTTAATAACTTTTTTTGTAAATATCGGTCCTAACCTGGCATCCAAGATAAACAACTCGAACAATTCATTTAATAACTATTTTACTGACCATACTAGTTCATTTTCTGAGAGTGACCTAAAATTGGAATAATTTGAAGAAGCAAAAAAATCAATCAGAAAGAACAAAGCTCCGGGCATCGATGACATTTCCAGCAATGTAGTATATGATATTTTATCCATTGTAGCAGATCCTTTATTTAATGTTTTCAAGTCATCAATTAGAGCATCAATTAAAAATTGCAAAGATTTTACCTGTATTTAAAACTGGAAACACGGCATTGCTAACCAATTATAGACCTATCTAAATTCTTCCAGTGTTTTCCAAACTCCTGGAAAGAATAATGTACAACCGACTTTATAAATATTTAGCAGACAATAAAATTCATTGCGAATGTCAATACGGCTTTCAAACTAATCATTCTACGGAACATGCAACCTTAGACCTAATGGACAACATTAGCTCGTCATTTGATAAAGGAAAATTTGTATTGGGAGTTTTTATCGATCTTACAAAAGCTTTCGATACTTTCAACCATAAAATTCTCCTTGAAAAAATGAGAAAATACGGTATAAAAAATCAAACTAATAAATGGTTCACTAATTATTTAAATAACAGGCAACAATGTGTTATTATAGACGGTATCACTAATACGGAGTTATTAAAAATCAAATGCGGTGTCCCCCAGGGATCTATTCTTGCACCTTTATTATTCCTTATCTACATTAACGATCTTCCTAAAGCCTCTACAAATCTCGATTGTATAATGTTTGCAGATGATACCAATCTGTTCTATTCATCTACCTCTATCAATGACCTCTTTGATAAAGTCAACTTTGAACTTCAAAATCTTAAAACATGGTTCAGTGCTAACAAGTTATCATTAAACGCGCAAAAAACTAAATATATTTTATTTCACTCAAAGAAACAGAAGAACAAACTACCATCAATTCTACCGACACTAAGTATTGACTACAAAAAAATTGAAAGAACCCAAACAATTAAATTTCTTGGTGTGATTATTGACGAAAATGTTTTATGGACAGCTCATATAAATGCCATCAACACTAAAATATCTAAAAGTATTGGTATACTTTTTAAAACTAGGCCATTTTTATCGCAAAAAAATCTAAAACTTCTTTACTTTTCCTTTATACATAGTTATCTCACATATGCCAACATAGCCTGGGGAAGCACACACAAGACAAAATTAATATCTCTTTATCGACGACAAAAACATGCTTCTAGAATAATACATCATAAAAACAAACTGACCCACGCTAAACCCCTATTAAAAGAAATGAAAGCACTAAAAATTTACCAAATTAATATCTACGCTAACATTTTGTACATGCTTAAATACAAACTAGGATTAGTTCCAAACCGATTCACAGGAAACTTCTTTCAATCTAATATCAACAAATTTAACACAAGAGCAACTGGTAACTTTATTGTACCCCTGAAAAAAAAAAAAAGTTCTCAATTTTCTATTTCTTATCGTGGCCCATATTTATTCAACAAATTAATTCCGAATTATACCTCGATTTCTCTCCCAGACAATATAACTTCTTTAAAGTCGAAACTCAAAAATCATGTTCTTAATATGGATAATTACCTAGAAATGTTCTAGTTCTGATGGTAAATTTACGCAATACCTCAAGGTTCTCGATGATAAGACTAATCTCAGTCTTCTACGAGTTCCCTACAACAACAAAACCCTTCTTATCAAGTCATAGCATACCTAATTATTGCTTCCTATACCTAACGGTATTTTGTAAAATGTATTTTTTTATTTATTTATTTAGGAAGTACAGTTTCTTTATAATATTGCAGTGAAAAAAATTTGTAATTAATATGTAGTTGTGAAAATTTCAAAAAAAAAAAAAAAAAAATATATATATATATATATATATATATATATATATATATATATATATATATATATATATATATATATATATATATATATATATATATATATATATATATATATATATATATATATTAGGGTGGTGCACAAATATATTGACAATTTCAAAAGTTTCAAAAATCAATGTGGTACTTTTTCTTATTGTTCCTTTTATCATTATATTAATTCCTGCAAAATTCAAGCAAATTTGAATGACTTTTAGAGGTCGCTCATGGCCATGTTTCCTCTTTTAATTGCCATTATTTTCCTATTCTAACGTTACTGTGAAGTTTTTAATATGTACATTTGTTTATTTATTTTATTATGACATAACTCTTAACTTGATTCAATTTAATTAATTATGATAATTATTTTAATCGATTTTAAATATTTTTTAAATATATTTTTCTAATTTAATAGTGTGCAACTATCTTTGACAATATACTGCAAAGCATTTTAATTTTTGTTCATATGAGTGCTGATTTGAGGCTTTAAAAAAATAAATTCATTTTGTGATAACAATTGTTTTACTCAGGTTATATTTTGATTTTCAGAAATATCCTGTAATATGAATTCTCAGTTATCTTTCCTTTCGTTTTCGAAAAAAATTGAAACTCGAACAACTACTGACATTTATCTTGTTGGGTCTGTTTCTCCAAATATTTCTGGGATGAAGCTTCCAACATGTCGTCAAGTTCTTGCAGTTTTTTTTCATCTTCACAAAATAGAAAAACAAACCGTTAGACAAAGTGCAAGGTGTGTCATTCGAGAAGTATTTCATTTGTGGAATATGGCAAAAATTCCAACAACTATTGAACATAATGCAATTGAAAAACTTGAAAATATTTTTTACAAATAGGCTAAAATAAAGAAAAATATGAAACGAGCTTCGGCAACACAAACAGCAAATGAAAATGTTTTTTGTGAAGAAATTGATCGCATTTTTGATATAGCACATGCTGATGCCATGAGTTTGATTACAATTGAAGAAGACAGACTATTTCTAATAGATCAGCGAGGTGAACGTAAGGGATACATGGCCGGAGTTGACATGGCATTGGCAAAAACTGA